TCGGGGGTTCGGGGGCAGAGCCCCCGAAAAAAATTTTGCTATCAAAGAAATTTAAGATGAAAATTTTATATGAATTTTTTTTTCCTCCATTTTCAGAAGATAATACCAAAGCGAATTGCGAAAGTTAAATTGCTATCTAAGAAACATGAATATCAAGTCAATTTTGTCAAAAAAAAAAAAAAAATATCAAGTCGATTATGAAATTTACACAATGAAATTTTAATTAATATTCATTATAAAAATTATATAAGATGAAAAAAAAGACGTCAAACGTTAATTGGTCTCCGGTGTGCGTTCGATCGGCTGTGGATAGCCATTTAACCGCCATTAGTGCGACAATGCAAAAGAACAAAGTTTTTTTTTCTTTTTCAAAGAACGAGAACGAAGTGAAATAGAAGATGTAGACAAGTCAGACATGAAGGGGACTTTGAGAAGTGAGGCGACTTTGAATAAGTGGGCTTAAGTGGAATAAAAATAACTGGATAAAATAATGTAATTGAGTAGGCTAAAAAAAAAAGTATTATATATATATATATTAGGAAAAAAAATTTGAAGTGAGGGGGGGCTTGAGTCCACCCTAGCCCTTGGGTGGACTCGCCCCTGGATTTACCGTTGATTGATATATAGATTTACTGCTCCATCATACAATTTGATTATCTGCAGATAAACATTATCTTAGTAAAAGTATTTCAATTGAATGAATTAACTAGCTCCCTAGCCTCCGGTTTTGACTGAAACTCAGATTAAACTATTTGATACCCAATTGGGATTTGGTCGTAAAAAGTTCGTTATTTGAACTCGACTTGTTTGCTTATCGAAACCGACAGAAACATAACTTTGAAAGCTATAAAAATCAAATAAGTTTGAAATGTGTCGCTTCGACTTGACTCGTTTATACGTTAATAAGATGCGCACACTATTATGTAGCACGGACACAGAAACGACGATACGGGGAAACCGAGAAACAAACACTAGGAAACAACATGTCCAAAAAATGGGGATACGAGAATTGGGTAAAATGTATAAATATTAAAAGTAAGAGGGCATATTTATAAATATACTATATATATTTATATTTCCATACAAATATATTCTCATGAATATTATTATAAATTTGCAATTGATCACTAAATCACGTAATTAACTAGAAAACAACAAAAATATTTGCTATTCAAACTTTTCTAAAATTGCAAAATAGTCGATAAGATATCCGGCATGTGTCCTCAGTGTCGGACATTGAAGATGCTAAATACTAGATCACCTTGGTAGGGGAGTTGAATGAGCTGGGAGAGCAAACTGGATCACGTGCTCACGAGCTAGATGGTCCTGATACTCTTGCGAATAGAACACACGTAAACTAAGTCGAGAGTTGATCCGACGAAAACTCCTCCGACGCTCAAGTTAGTGTGCGGAACGTGGAGATTGTAGAGAGAATGTAAATACTTGAATTGCTTGTAATAATAGAACGTACCTTTTACAAACGAATCAAATCTTTATTTATACCTTGTAGATTGGGCTGAAGTTTAATTAATTGAGATTGTCTGACCCAAACCTTAGTTGAATGTAATTGGGTTTCGATGGTAGTGGTCTTCAATATTGGGCTCGTGACCGAATGAATAAATAAATCGTAGGCCCATTAGGCCGACCCAATTACACATATCAGACACGAAATGTGTTCGAAACACGGGTATATTAAAAATTTAAAGTTTCCGTGCTACTACACGAGTGCACTATAGAAAGATATTATATAGGGAAATTGAAGATTCCGAATTTTAGTGAGAGCTTAAAAAAGTGTAATCCGTCGTACAGAGATAAGGCAAATACGTTTTAATTAGTGCAACTATTAACACTTTTCTAGCTAGTGTAAATTGCTTTACACATCCAATGATGGATACACATTTACATAAATTAATTAGCTTAACAAGAAAGAAAACTATTCACATAAAACATTTAATTCCACTACAATAATATAATGAAAAATTAGATGTTACACTTGATTATTTACATCAATATATTTGAACCGTATATGTATGATTGTGTGTAGATTTACATTTAAATTCCACTCAATATAAATAAGGCTGCGGCTATATGCAAGACCAAATTAAATTTTTCAATGTATAAATACTATAATACCCTTACTTGTTAAAAAAAAATAGAAAATTCCAAATGTGCAAGACCAAAAATTCAAAAACACAAAAAACCCTATCGCAAGACCACAAAATCACAAGACCAACTCTCATCTTCTTCATCTTCCAAAACCCATAAGACCTTTCTCCTTCCTCCTCCATAAACCCACAGTTAACTCTAAACATTCAAAATCATCGAAACTCAACAAATCTTACAAAGATGGCAAGTATGGAGTCAGAATACATCAAAATAGAAGATTCTACGGTGGAAGAACCCAAGAAGGTATGCATTTCTGGCTTTTTTTAGCTAGAATATCGTTTTTCCAAAAAAAATCCCGCGCAAACGAATTCGACATGTACAGGTCGAATTTTATGGGTAAAAATCGACATTTAGATGTCGAATTTTAGGCATAAAACTCGACATTGCATTTGGCAATGTCGAATTTTGTGCTATAAATTCGACATGTCAATGTCGATTTTTACCCATAAAATTCGACGCTTAAGTGTCAATTTCTAGCACAGTTTTTCGACACCTTGGTGTCGATTTTTACCAGTTTCAGATTTAATTTATTTTTCCTTTTTTTTTGTAAGGTTGGGCGGCGGGGCTTGGGTGGCGGAGCTTTGACGGCGGAGAAGGTGGGCGTAGGTGGAGAAGGTGGGCGTAGGTAGGATTTGAGGAGGGGTGCTTTTTTTTTTTTAATTCACGCATTTTTTTTTTTTTTGTTTTTTTTTCCTCATTATTTTATTTGGTCTTGCATGAAAAAAAAAGCCAATTTAATTTATGGGTATATTTGTCATTTCATCTTAATAAAATAGAATCTTTTGGAATCTTTCTTTAATTTGGTCTTGCACAAGTAATTTTAGTATTGCATATAGCCGCAGCCTATAAATAATCAGGTGTAATATTTAATTTCTCATAATATATAGGACGGTGCGCACGCAAACTA